TTGCCGAGGCTCGGTAGCCTAGATTTCCCAGAGCTTGTAAGAGACCCTTGGTCCCTTGGATGCAAGCTTCTTGGGTCTCAGCAGCAATTAGGAGGTCATCAACATACTGTAGTAAGGTTATTTCAGGGTGTTTGCGTTGGTACTCACCCAGGTCTTCATGGAGGGCCTCATCGAACAGGGTAGGAGAGTTTTTGAATCCTTGCGGCAGTCTGGTCCATGTCAGTTGGCCACTTATGCCCCTATCAGGGTCATTCCACTCGAAGGCGAAGAGCTTCTGGCTCTGAGGTGCTAAGGGCAAACTGAAGAAAGCATCTTTCAAATCTAAAACAGTGTACCATTGATGTTTAGGGTTTAGGGTACTCAGGAGGGTATACGGGTTAGGCACAGTTGGATGTATGTCCACAACCCTCTTATTGACTTCTCTTAAGTCTTGTACAGGTCTGTATTCTCCACTATTAGGTTTTCGTACCGGCAACAATGGAGTATTCCAGGGTGAGTGTCATGGGCGAAGGACCCCTTGGTCAAGGAGCCGGCAGATATGCGGGGCAATTCCTTTCTTGGCCTCTAGGGGCATCGGGTATTGGCGTACCTGCACAGGGTCTGCCCCAGGCTTAAGTTCAACAAACAAGGCAGGACGGTGTTTTGCTAGACCTAAGCCCCCCGTTTCCGCCCAAGCTTCTGGATATTGCTGGAGCCAGGTTGCTATGTCCTGGTCAGGGGCCACTTGCTCCTGGTGGAGCCGGTACTCATCCTCTAGGGTTATAGTCAGGACGGACATGGGCTGATTGTGGGAGTTGGTCACGACGGGCCCCTCAGGGAGGAAATGGATCTGTGCTCCCATTTTGGTTAGCAGGTCTCTCCCTAATAGGGGACAGGGGCTCTCAGGAATGACCAGGAAAGAATGGGTTACATTCTTGGCTCCGAGGTTTACTGTTCTTTGTGTTGTCCATGGGTATTTCTTAACTCCTGTGGCCCCTTGTACCCACGAGGACTTGGAGGATAATTTCCCATCAGTTTTAACTAAGACTGAGTGCTGTGCTCCTGTATCAACCAAGAACTGGACTGGGGACCCCTCCACTTGCAAAGTTACCCTAGGTTCGGGGAGGGGATCCGAACCCCGTCTTCCCTAGTCTTCATCTTGAGTGACTAGTACGGGTGTAGACCTAGGGGGTCCCTGTCCTTGTTGTTTCTTTTTGGGGCAGTTTCTTACCCAGTGGCCAGCCTCCTTGCAGTAGGCACATTGGTCTTTTCTCAGATTATCATGCCTGGGGGGCGCCTAGGTTGGGTGTACTCTGGCTGTGGATGCTCTTTCTGTACCGCTGCTGCCAGGACCTTGGTCATTTTTTCAGTGGCCTTAAAATGCCTTTCTTCTGGAGTATCTCTGTTATTGTAAACCCACTGGGCTATCTGAAGGAGGTCCTGAATCTGCTTTCCTTCCAAGTCTTCTAATTTCTGGAGTTTTCTTTTAATATCTGAGGCTGCCTGATTTACGAAAGACATTACAACAGCTGCCTGACTTCCTGGAGCCTCTGGATCTATGGGGGTGTACTGTCTAAAAGCTTCCATTAATCTTTCTAAGTAGGTAGCTGGGCTCTCTGTCTTTCCCTGCAGAATAGAATATACTTTAGGCAAATTAGTGGGCTTGCGAGCAGCTGCCCAGAGACCTGCCATTAGAGTCTGGCGATAAAGGCGTAGCCGTCCCCTACCTTCTGCCGTGTTGTAGTCCCACGCCGGCCTGGTCAGAGGAAAGGTCGCGTTTATGAGGTCGGGGTTGGCAGTCGGTTGACCGTCGTCCCCCGGGACCAGCTTTCTAGCTTCTACCTGTATCCTTTCTCGCTCTTCCGTGGTAAACAAGATTTGGAGGAGCTGCTGACAATCATCCCAAGTGGGCTGGTGGGTGAACATGACACTATCCAGTAAAGCCAGTAAATCTTTGGGGTTGTCTGAAAACCGAGCACTTTGAGTCTTCCAGTTATACAGATCACTGGTGGAGAATGGCCAGTACTGGAGCCTGGGGATTCCTGTGTCATCTGGGGGTCCTATTTCCCGAAAGGGTAAAGCCACCGTGGAGTCAGGCGGCTGGGGGGGGCTAGTCCGCGAAGTGCGCCCTCGCGTCCACCCCGCCGGCCCTTCAAAGTTACTTTCTCTTTCAGCGGGCCCGGGTGCGTCGGCCGCCTCCCGTCCGCCTGCTCCCTCCCGCGGCTGAGCCCGGGGGGTGGGTCCGGGTGCGTCGGCCGCCTCCCGTCCACCTTCCCCCTCCCACGGCTGAGCCCGGGGGGTGGGTCTGGGTGCGTCGGCCGCCTCCCGTCCGCCTGCCCCCTCCCGCGGCTGAGCCCTGGGGGTGGGTCCGGGTGCATCGGGGTACGGAGGGGGTTCTGCGAGCAGTGGGTCCCTGCTGTCAGGTAGAACAGGATTGGGGGGGCCAGTTGGTTGCTCGGGTCTTAGTGGTCGGGCAACCAGCGCCTTACAGGGTTCAGAGGCTAATTGGAAAGGGGACAGCCAATGAGGCGGGTTTTCAACAAGGTCCTGCCATATGAGGATATATGGTATTTGATCTAAGTGGTCCGCATGCCCAGGTAGGAAAATCTTGGACTTTATCCTAGTGATGACAGCAAGTTGGAAAGTCCCCTCAGGTGGCCACCCCACATCAAAGGCAGGCCATTCGGAGCGACACAGAGTAATTAACTTTCCTTTCCTGATTTCTATACCAAGATCATGGCCCCTTGCTCTAACTTCTTTAAAATTATTTGTGAGGAGAGATAGAGGAGTGCTCTGGGTATTACCCATCCTGTAATGATTTGTAGTCTCTTCCTGTAAAGGAATGTGGATAAGAATCCCTGTAAAGGAAATCTGATCTGACTTATTAATGATATCTAGTCGCAGGCACGCTTTGGAAGCCCGGGAACCGGGGCCGCAAGCACGCGCGCGCCGGAAACCAGAGGCCCGGGAACCAGGGCCGTGAGCACGCGCGCGCCAGAAGCCGGAGGCCCGGAACCGGGGCCGCGAGCACGCGCACGCCAGAAGCCGGAGGCCCGGGAACCCGGCCGCAAGCCTGGAACCGGGCCGCAAGCGCGCGCTGCCCGGTGGCAAACGCCCCCAGGGCAGCTCAGATAGCCAGCGCGCCCTGCCCAGGGAAACGCGCCCGGGGCAGCTCAGATCGCCAGCGCGTTCTGCCCGGGCAAACGCGCCCGGGGCAGCTCAGATCAGAGACAGCTAGATCAGACGAGAGCCAGGGGACGTCTCCCACCGGTCTCTGCTGGCTGTCCTATAGTGCATCCGCCAGGACTGTGCCAGCTCCAGTTTCAGACCTCGCGAGCCACAGATTCAGATTCAGAACAGACACAGACAGACACAAACAGACACAGACAGACACAGACAGACAAACGGTGACGAGCCAGCTCACCTATCAGTAGATCGATCCTAGCAGATCTGTTGACCAGGGGTCTGGTGGGCTTGGGGAATCCCGGACGGGTCCCCAGATGTTATGCCCAGACCGTTTGTTCCCCAAAGAAGACCACCAGAGTCCAGTGTCAAAGCCAAGCGGCAAGGATCTTTATTACAAGTTCGAACCTGGTCCCTCCATTCTACAGCATACAAGAGAGGGCCTCGAACAATGCGAGCGTTTGCTTTTTAGAGCCCGAAAGTTACAGGGGAACAAAGAAATTCTTTTGGTTCCCGCGCTTTCAGTAAAACCTTGAATGGCTGTCTCCTTATCGGAGGCTTTCCAGGTGGTGTTTATACTGGGCTCAGGGAGTTTGAGAGATATATGGCGATATGTGGTGGGATGGGAGGATGGAATGTGTTTGTACTAGGCTCAGGGAGTCTTGAGCCCGGGGCTGAGGAATGTGCCCAGCTCCTTTCAACTAGAATCTATATGATGATCTTCTAGCTATAGAGAAAATAGATGGAGGCCCTGCTAAAACATTATAGACTGAATGCAGTTATTACTAGTGAAAAACTATTGAATGAAGAGACTTTCCAAAGACTCAGTTTCTATTTGAATAAGATTCAAATGAATACTTTTATATATTTAAAGGACTTTTGTCCTTTAGAATTAATTAATTAATTAATTATGGTTAATTGACTTGACTTATAGTAAAGTAGCAGTAGCACACTTTTAGAATACAAAATATATAAAGCCCAAGGCATAGCTTTCTGAAAAGTTTGAACTTGGACTTTTATAATGTTTTAAGGAATTATGTGTAAATCGCATTATATAATGGCCAAAGAAACTTTTACATAGAAAATATACTTTTAATATATTAGGCACATGGCTTAATTGTTAGGTTAGTGGTAAGTTAAACTACTCTACATAGAGTAATGGGAGCATGTTTTATTTTCTATACTTACTTTTAAAAAATGAGATGACTGGCATACCATATTTCATTTGATGAGTTTATTACTCAGGTTGTGTTATATTTCTTCCATATAGCAAATCATAGTAATATTTTTTTGTTTTACTGTGACAATGCTTTAGAGAAAAGATGTGTGTGTGCGCACATGTTTTATATTAACTGTTTTGTTATGTCATTTAAGAGGAAGCTAAGAACTCGTGATGTTATGACTGTTCTTAACACTAACAAACCCCTTTTAATCTCCAGTGGTCAAAGTATTTAATAGAAGGTTATTAGTAGAACTGTCTTGTGTCAGAGAAATGTGGATTCAAACCCTGTAAATATACAAACTTACTGAAACAAAGACATGACACCTGGCTATTACCGGATCTCATTGGTATTTTTTAATTCACAATTTTTTTTCTTTCACTGGTCCAGCCACTTTGACTCTGGAATAGCATATACTCCAGCTGCAGTTCATTACAGCTATCAGTCAAGAGCACTTTGGCTTACTATTTTGGTGGCAAATAGTAATAATAATAGTGACTTTACACCTTTCTTGGAACTAAATTATAAGTGATGTGGCTTTAGATTCTCAGATTTCATTTTTCAGACTACCAAATAAATAACGATTTTAAAATTAGACAAATTTTATTTATTTTTCAGACCACGTTGATGAGCGAACAATATGCAATGGAATTGCCCCAGAAAAAGATGTAGATGGATTTCATATTATCAATATTGGAAGATTGTGCCTTGATCAGCATTCTCTCATACCTGCCACTGCCAGTGCTGTTTGGGAAATAATAAAAAGAACAGGTTGGTAACTTGTGGTCTGCAGGACATGGATGCTAGATGCTGAGCTGAGCATTTGTGCACTGAGACTTGATGGGACCACCTCAGTCCTGTAGAGTGGCAGAAAATTGTAAGCCATAAAACATCAGTCTATAGAGAGATATAAAATTGTAGAAGTCAAAACATAATCCAATCCTGGATAACAGGGTGAAACCCCATCTCTACTGAAAATACAAAAAATTAGCTGGGCATGGTGGTGGGCACCTGTAGTCCCAGCTACTCGGGAGGCTGAGGAAGGAGAATGGCGTGAACCTAGGAGGTGGAGCTTGCAGTGAGCCGAGATCACACCACTGCACTGCAGCCTGGGCGACAGAGCAAGACTCTGTCTCAAAAACAAAACAAGCAAACAGAAAAAAAAATCCAAAATAAAATAAAATGAAGAACATTAGCCAGGCTATATATAACTGCAGTTGCAACTTATAGGAAGTGAATTTTCCACACAGTGGTGGTATATGTCTACCTTTAAAATATAAACTTCATGCATTATGATGAAAACTTTTCTAAAATATATTTTTCTGTACCTTTAAAAATATGTGCTGATCAAATAGTTATCATTTCTGTTGACTTGGGTTTTCATTTTAAACATTTACTCTTGTACTGTACTGGATCCGGTAATGCTCTTACAGTGTATACAGATGTTTACCTCTATGTTAATTAACCCAAATTGCCTTATATATTAATGATTTTCCTAGCTCCATCATTGTTACTTCTATTTTTGGCAGCATTTTCTCCTTTCTAATCTGTTTTCTGAGAAAGAAAAACTTCCAAGAGAAAACTGATCCTAGAATCATACTCTTACAGTGTTAGTATTGGAAAATCCTTAGTTCTAACTTCTTTGCTTTACTTCTGAAGAAACTTAGTGGAAAAGAAGTAGAAGGTTCTACAGGCTTTATTTTTTAAATCTTCCTAAGTCTGTAAGTTTAATGCTTCTTTCCTATGGAGTAAAATGCATGAGCTTTGTGAAAAATGCCTGTTTTGTTCCAGTGTTGCTCAAAATTTGATTGCCAATTAAGTTCAACATTGTTGTACTTTGCTTATTTTATAATTAGCAGTTAACATATGTTAAGACTCTACTCTTCTAAATCTTAATGTGAATCTCAGTGTTTAATAGTAACTTAACATCAACTTAAGAATGTCTGTGTTTTTTAATGAGGACATAATCAGAGAAGTGCCAAATCAAAGAAGCATAAAATGAATTATTTATAAATAATGAATGTGCTCATATTATAGATAAGCCACATAATAATTCAGATTTAATGAGAAATATTTAAAAGAATGTTTCAGTTGACTGTACAAATGTTTAATTTACTTCTTGTTATCAATTCTGTATTTAAACCTAACTCTGTATTTTAAGGAATTCAGACGTTTGGAAAAAATGTGGTTGTGGCTGGAAGATCCAAGAATGTAGGGATGCCCATTGCCATGCTTTTACACACTGATGGAGAGCATGAACGGCCAGGAGGTAGGTAGGACCTTGCAGATTCTACACTCTCTTGCAATGCTCTTACATCATCAAGAAAACACTTTTGATAATGCAACTTATTTATATTTGTGGGTTTATGCAGTTCAAAGTCTCCTTTATTCCTCATTTAGTGATGTGAGAGTCTTGAAAGTGACTATAGGAATTACTGAAAATATGTGGCCTTTTTCTCTATTTCTTTTCTTTTGGCTATATGTACTTTGTCTAAATAATTAATGATCAGACATTAAGAAAGGTGCAAAGCTACTAGATACAAAAAATTCACGTGCCTCAGGAAATAGAAAATAAGACATCTCTTGGATGTAGAATTCCTATAGTGGCAAGGTCTTAACACTTTAGAAATTAGCTAGTTTATTTTACAGACAAGAAAGCTGAAGCTTAGAGTTGTTATCTGATTATATAGGTTAAACAAATAGTCATTGTCCTATGAGTAGTAGTGACACTCCAAGTCACTGACAAAGCCCAGGAAGATGTGTTAGCCTTAGAGAACATGCAGCCATTCCAGGTGTTGGTCATCTGAACATCATCCCAAGACCTTGGTTTCTTCAGCAGCCTAATAGCTAGATACAGAATAGCTCCCCAGAAATGTGTGGGGGTCTGTCCTACAGACCCTGACCCAATGATGGATGAATAAAGTACACTGACACACAGATATTCTACTTTGCCAGTCCAGCTGAGCATCTGGGCCGCTTACAGACTCCACGTAAATTGCTGTAAACAGTTTTGACTGTGATCTCAATCAGTCAGCAAGACTTGCATTTATTCAGTAAAGATTAATTGACAAAGGCTTGAGTCAACACCACCAGAGTGTAATTGACACTGTGGACTTCCCAAGTAGAAGGCAATTAAGCACCCACGTTAGATCAAAGGTTAGTTTTAGGACCACACGAGTAAACAAGCTAGTTAGGTAAACTCTCCACATTCCTTTGTTTCTACTCTAGTTTACTTAACTAAAGGTAAGGGGACAAGGTTGCCTTCAGACAGATTTATTACTGAAGTTATGCAAACCCTCAGACCTTCCAAGAGGGTTTGTGGCTATTAAAACTAAAATTTTTCCCACCAGCCTGACTGAAACACCACAGAGATAGAAATGGGGATGGAATGAAAAGGAAATCCAGCAAAGAGGTGATGGGGCATTGTTCATGGTTGTCTGAGCCAGTGCTGTGGGAGGAGGGTACAAGGGTAGTTCACCTCATCACTGTCTGCTAAATTCTGCATCTTGTTCTAATCTAGGTAAAACACCAAGTTCATGTTCTTAATAGAAGTATTTATTTGTCTATCTATGTGTTAGAGACGTTTTGTACTTTCTTTACCATTTATTACTTCTCATCTTTCTCCCCCTAATTTTTGATACAGTACTTCATTGGTTTCTCTAATTCCAAAGAAGAGGATGGGCTACTTTTTTGCTTTCTAATATTTAACCAGAATGATCGACACCTATGTGCTCATCATGTACAACACATGCACACGTGCATGCACATATACAGCATATATAGATATAGAGATTTATTATTAACCTTGTTGAATTCGAGTTTCCTGATCTCAAACTTGCAATAATACTTGTTTTAGGATCTTTATTGACATGATACTTATAACATAATTTTTAAAACACAAAACCCTGTAGAAAAATAATCCCAGTAATAACATCTAAAATGATGATGACACTTTTGAATATTATTTTCCCTTTCTATGCCTAAAGAGCTAAATATTGCCAGAAATCAATACATTTATATATTTGAATCACAGTAAATTAAGACTTGATAATGACTCCAGATAACTTTAAAAAGCCTTAGTTTTGAAGAGCTCTTAGATAGCCCAAATCCAGTGGTATGACAGTTTTCATGGTACACATCTCCAAAGTTTTATTCCTAGTTTCACTGTTCACTTCCAGCTTAGTCTATTGTTGCTTATCTCTTTCTCTCTCTCTGTATAGTAAAGATATTGATTCTTATTTGCCTTTATATAATAATTTCTGTGTCTTACCTAAGCAAGGTGCATTAGTCTGTTCTCACATGACTGTAAAGACATACCTAAGACTGGGTAGTTTCTAAAGAAAAGATGCTTAATTTGCTCACAGTTCTGCAGGCTGTACCAGAAGCTTGGAGGCATCTCCTTGGCCTTTATGAAGACCTCAGGAAGTGTATAATTGTGGCAGAAGGCAAGGGGAAGCCAGCATTTCTTATGGCTGGAGCAGGAAGAAGAGAAGGGGGAGGTGCCATACACTTTTAAACAACCAGATATCATGAGAACTCACTGTTGCAACAACAGCACCAAGGGAGATGGTGTTAAATCATGAGAAAGTGCTCCCATGATCCAGTTAACTCCCACCAGGCCCCACCTCCAACACTGGGGATTACAATTGAAAGTGAGATTTGGGTGAGATTCCTGCTCCAGTCATATCACAAAATAAAACAATCATTAATGTTTACCTAAGTAAGCTATTTCTTCTTGGAAAATTTTGACCAAGAGCCAATTTGCAGGGTTTTTTTTTTTTTTTTTTTTTTTCATTTGCAACGTTGTTTTTATCTGTAACATAACAAGCAACAGTGTATTGCTCTGTGATTTGCTCAGTACTTTCTCTTAAACCATCCTAATTAATTCTCAGTAATCCTAGCATATATTAATGTTATTCCCATTTTACAGCTAAAGGAAATGAGCTTTAGAGAATTTAAAGGACTCATCTAAGGCCATGCAAGGAAACAGGCATTCTGGGGAGCTGGATTCTGACTTTGTAGTTAAGAGGATAGACATGGAGTCAAACCCCCTCCATTATCAAACCCTGTGACCTTGAGCAAGTCATTTAATCTCTGTAGGCCTCCCCTTTCCTCATCTATAAAATGTCAATAATATTAATATCTCAACTTGGTTATTGTGGAAAGTAAATGAAATATTAATGTAAATTACTAATTACTGTACCTAACATATAGTAAGTTAAGTAAGCTATTGGTGCACGTAACTGTGGCAATTACCAGCATTTCTATTATTACAGTTAAGTCAATAATAATCTGTAGCTGTTCTAACTATGGTGTGTGAAGTAACATGATCTGAGATTAATGATGTGATTTTTACCTTTATTTGAATTTTATTCTCTTCTGGTGGATTTTGTATTTGCATTTTTTGGATCATATCTGATCTTTTCTGTAAAAGATTGAATAAACTCAAAATTTATAAAAGTTTATAATGTATTTGATTAGAAATAGGACATCATAACTATCCAAATATTACTTTACAGTGTGTTTTTAATAGGCATCAATATATTGCATGCTAATTTCTTGATAAATTTCAATCTTGAATTATATATTTGTCTATAAAATACCTATCAAAATTAACTTACCTCTTTTGTATGCAGTTTTAAACTAGGTTTTCCTGTGAATTAAACATATTACTTTATTTTTTATAATCTATGATTTATTTATAGATGCATATATATGCAGTAAAAGCAGTAAAGGAAGCATTAGAAAGATAAACACAAATTCATGGTGGCAGTGACCTCTGGTGAAAGAATTATAGGATAAAATCATATATACTTTAAAAAGTATTATACTTTGTGTTATGAAATATTCTCATTTGAATGCATGTTAAAATGGAATAAAAGTGGAATAAGTTATAATACTGGTTACTTAGAAACCAGATAATTAAATTTACCTTTATTATAGTGGTACCTGGTTGCCGTTAGAATTACAGTATCTAAAAGGTAACAAATTATACTAAAAATGATATTGGAAGATTTGCAACATGGGTGGTTTTTAATCTCATGCATATTTAAGAGGAGTATGATGACATATATTATTAATGTAATGAATCATTGTGAGCTGCTTACTGAAGGTTTGGAGTCTGTGGGAAAGTTAATATTTCAAACATGCATGTCTGTTAGGGCAATAATTATGGGCAGTGACTCCATATGCATTGTTAGCTAATGAAGATAATGAAGGAGGATTAACTCGGCAAATGCATATCTATAGAACTTGTTCTAATGACACTCACAATGTTGAGCATTCAGCTCACACTGTGTATTTATTTCTTTGCCAGAAGACATGCAGAACCCTAATGATTCATTTTTGTCTTAAAGCCAAAGGTAATTGTACTAGGAGAAAAATGGCCATACTGTAATTTAGCTCGATTAATATGTGTCTACCTATGGCTAGCTTTTAGTTTTGTTATTAAGGACATGGATCCTAGCTGTTTTTTGAGTATTTTTTTTTTTTAATTCCCCAAGGGCTTGAAATATTTAGCGGAGTGAGAATGTGCTAAAATCTTAAGGGGGTAGTGCTGACACTCAATACAACAAGGAGGCAAGGAAGGAGTTACCTTCTGGTGAGAACAGACTGTCACAGAAGGCTTTGCAGAGGATGTAGCACTTTAGCTGCTATGTAGCTTATAGAGAGTAGGTGAGAGATGGTTCCTGTCCTCCCAGTGCTATAGTCTTGGTGGTGGTGATGGGGGAGCAAGGGGATATGATATACAAGTATGGGTAATTTAAATTTTATATAGTCAGTGGCACAAAATAAAATTTGGCATCCCCAAGTAAACATTCTATGTGCTTCTCAAAACTCATGGCTAATTAAGGTAACATAAAGAGAATGAGCTCCACTAATTATTAGAATGTTTGAGTACCATTGTGACCACCTGTAGATCATTGTATATTTGTAATCAAACACAAGTCCAGATGCTCTCTGCTTGTATAGTCCGATTAACAATAGCAAGACCTGGTAGAAAGACAGTAACTTTATTAACCAAAACTAGTTAAAAAAAAAAAAAAGAGAGAAGCCTCCAGATTCCTATCCAAAGTAACTGCTCTGATTTGGGGTGGGGTGGTGGTGGAAGGCAGAGGTTTAAAAAGGGAAAGGGAAAACTTGATAAAGCAGGCATGCAAGAATTGGGCGGAGTAAATGTCTGTGTGTCTGGTTCTGATGGCTAACTTGGGTCCCAGTCCAGCTGGAACATGGGCTGATGTCATTTCAACAATGACTGGATTGTTAACT